TTTGAAAATATAGTTTTCTCGATGTTCGTAAGTGTTGTGTCTCGAAATCAGTTTAGACTTAGTAAAATTGTTATACGATGATTTCAGGTTAGAAGTGAGTGAAAGATATGACTTTCGACGTGTACACGCTTTGAGGTGAGAAGTCATAGGCATGAAGGCGTCTTTGGCCTGAAAAGTGAAAAGGTTTTGTGGTGTAGCGCCATGACACGAAGTGAGAAATGTGAATGAAAAGGTGTCACGTGAAGTCTTAGTTTGATACAAATCTAACCTGTTTCACCATGAATAACAAATTTAATAAAGTCATGGGTGGTTGTTGTATGAAACACATCGAGAGAATATTTGACTGTTAGTGGATTTGGCAAGTTTAATGTGAAATTATTTTATTGTGGCGACGATATAGAGTTAAGTGGAGGCTTGTGTGGCTCAAGATTTGGATTTGTGTGTTAAGTCGCGCACTAAAAATGGTTGCCAATTGTATAAAGTGATGTGTGAGTGTTGTAACATTTGTTGAGAGAGATTTATTGATGCTTAATTATGCATGTAAAAAGTAGAGACGAGGGAGTGTATCTAAGTTAGAATAAAATGTTGTTAATAAGTTTGTTAGGTTGTGACCTAATTTAGCTACTGGCGATGAAGTGGAGGGAATCTTTATTTTCAACTTGTTTTGGGAAAGATAGTTGTTTTCCCTAGTGGTGTTTTTGAAGATATTGTATCTTCCGATTTTTAAAATAAAAAAAAAATGCGTTTCACCTATGTTAATTTATATTTAAAATTTGAATATACTTTTTAAATTGTTGATTATGATAATTAAAATGATTCTTATAAAAGGGCAATGTCGTGAGAGTTACAAATAATTTGAATTGGGCGCTTACTTAAAATGGTGAACATTACCAAATTTTAAGAATTGATAAAGATATTGGTCTTTTGATACAAAGATAACTAATAAGTAAAACAAAAATAAGTTGAGAATTATGATGAAAGAGATTTTTTAAAAAATAATAATAATGAATTTTTTTTTTCAAGTCGTAGCTTTGGATAATGCCATTTTAGGTAAATTTAGGAAAGGCATGTAAGATTAGTAAATTAGTAAAAATGCGTGATGGGCGAATTTTTTTTTTTTTAAGTAAAATTGAGAGTAATAACTTGAAATTTATAATCTGATTAAGAATTAAAGTAAATTTGATCAATGAAAATGTGAAAGTTTTAAAAATTGAATTAAAAAATGGTATAAAAAAGGTAAAAATTGATTTTAAAATGCTTAAAGTGAAAATATAAATACAAAATTTATAGGGAATCAAGTTTTGAACTTGAGGATAAAGTTAAGGTAGGTTTTTTTTAAAAAACTTACAGTTGTGTGAAAGTTCAGTCAGGAAACTTGGTCTTGGCTTGTATTCCTGCTGACGTTGAAGACGCTCCATGTAGAGCTTGTAGACGCTTGTAACTTCTGGAAAGTTGTTTGTCGCTTGTTGTCTCGATGCCATTGTCTCGATGATGTCAAGTCGAAGGTGGAGAACTTCTCACAGGGTTTAGGTACATCGCTGCTTGGTTTCCATGACTTGCGGGAATTTCGGGGCTGTCGTTGGCGCGGTCAGCTTGCTTCCGGCGTTGGCGATCGGCTAGCGGGTATGCGGAAGTCCGTTGGGGCGGCGTTTCTTCCCTAAATATCGTCTCTTGCTGGAGGGAGAGATTGCTTGGTCGTTTCGTTGGTATGGCGGGCTTGTTCCTCCATCTTTGCCCTTTCTCGCTTCCAATCTGAACGGTCTTCTTACCTCTTCGTTGTGTCATCCTTCGTTTTGGTCATCCTGTCGACTTAAATGTGATGATGAGTTGCTGTCGACTTATCTGTGATGAGATCCTGTCGACTCATGTAATGAGATGATGCGAATTCCAGTAGCTTTTGTAGAGATCCTGTCGACTTCTGAAATAAAAGTTGAAGTCCTGGTAGCTCTTGTTGTACTGTGTTGACCAAGAGGAACAGTCAGGATGTAGAGTTTTCCAGTACCTCTCTGCACCTTGGAAGACCTTTAAAAGTTCTCACAAAATACAGGCAGTCGTGGTCGAGGGCAGAGTGGAAAAGCTTGGGGATATCCACACAAAAAACGAAGACACAGTTGTACTAAGAAAGTTCCGTAAACAGATAAAAGCTGAGCTAGAAGCGCAAGATGGAGACATAGAAGTTTCTTACTCGTCTACATGATAGTTGAGATCGACATAAGGTGCGACCGACGCGAGCTGAAGCTAAGGGTGAACTAAAATCAACTGACTGAACTGTACTGAGCTGTCAAGCCACTGTAAGGTGATGATTTATAGGTTAAAGACGGGGTGACCTTATGTGACATGGGCGTTTCTGAGAAAAGGGGGGCCTCTGCCTTCCACCACATGTGACAGTGTGGGTGGCCTGTCGTGGGAATTGTGAATCTACCTGATTTATGAGTTCCATCTTTAGACTGTTGTTTTGGCAATACTATGCTCGATCTCTGCTTTAGCTCAACTCTTAAATCTATTACAGATTTTATTTATTTATCCACTTTGTACAAATTACATTACATAGGGTGATGTAAAGACACAGATTAATCATGCGCATAATTATTTATAGATGTTTCTATATACAACATGGCAATCTTGTTATAAGTTATCTACACAATATGAGGTTGTTGTTTTAAATTACCATATATATATATAAAAAAAAAAAATTCCCAAAAAAAAAAAAATTTACAAAAATCTAACTTCTCTCATCAAGAGAGAAAATAGAGCAAAAAATACTTCTCTCTCTTTAATTAGCTTTATTTTATATTTGGATAATTATTATCATGGTTCTGTCTTTGCTCTTCTCTTTAAAACCTTCTCTTCGCTTATTCCTTTTTTTCACCCAGCCTATGACGCGTAACTGCCGATGCTTTGCTGGTGTTACTTTTTTTTTTTTTAAATATAATCTAACTAATTATTTATTACAAAAAAATTAAAAAAACAAACCTCACACATTTAAATTAAATTAAAAAAAAAATTATTAATCTTAAAATTTTTCATAACTATACTATTTGATACAGAATTAGCTTGCTGTTCTGACTCAAAATTGATTCAAAATCTGTTGTTCTTAATAGTTTATTTTTCCTCTCATAAAGGTTACCGATTTAAAAGTTTATTTCATAATTTTAGATTGTATAAGAAACATATTTTCATTTAAGTAGTGTACTTTATTTTAAAAAGATTAAATAATTGTGGGGTTAAATAAAACGTTATTCCAATTATTTTCGTCAGCTAGAAATCAATAATATTTTTATTTATTCACGTAAGTTAATTTGTTGAAATCTAAAAGGAAACACGGGAGACGGGGAGATATTTGGCCGAATGTGGAACTTGCCTTTTCATTGGTCGTGACGTCACGGTGGCTATTGCATCATCTGGTATTGCGGTAATTCTTTTAGACGGTGGTCGAACAGCACGTTCAACGTTGAAATTGCCATTAAATATGCAGGTAATTGAAACTCCAACATGTAATATTAGCAAATATTCTGGGATGGGAAAAGTACTAAGATCATGTCAGCTTATAATATGGAATGAATGCACCATGGTACACAAGAAATCTTTGGAAGCACTCAATTGTACATTAAAAGATTTGAGAGGAAAAGACAAAATTCAGGATGACACGGCAATTTATTTGAGACAAGAATAATGATACAATTCCAAGGCAAGATACTATTCCTTTAATTTCAATTACCGAAGGAACCAATTAATATTGATTTTATTCAACTTATCGAGTATTTTTCAAGGGACCTGGGAAAAAATGTTCACTGGATAAAATGATGATTTTGTATTGTAGAAAATTAGGAAAGACAAAATTCAGGATGACACGGCAATTTATTTGAGACAAGAATATTGATAAAATTCCAAGGGAAGATACTATTCCTTTAACTTCCAATTACCGAAGGAACCAATTAATATGGATTTTATTCAACTTATCGAGTATTTTTCAAGGGACCGGGAAAAAATGTTCACTTTATCGAGAGATTCAAATTTACGAGTTTCAAATTATCAAAATATATCTATTATTTCTTTTATAAGTTTATAGAGAATTGTTTTAACAAATGTTCGTTAGACAAACCTTTACTCGGGTAAAACCTGGGCGAAGCCGGGTACATCCGCTAGTTGTTTTATATAACTGGGTGTTCTTTATACAGAGCTTTGTCTTTATGAATTCCCATTGGCACCACGAAACCAAACAGTTAGAAATATATTAGACTGGATTCATTGCTGAATCAAGTTGAAATATTCAGCCGCTAGTCATTGCATACTATTAAGCCAAACGTTTAAATTAAATTTATCCCGATAGATGGCGCATTTACATCTTTGATGCTAATCTAACATGTCATTTTAAATGCTTCAACTTATATATATTACCCTTCCGATCCATATATTATGTAAGAGAATACAACTACAGTTTACACCGGGATCTTTGTATCCCAACACTGAACCTGATAAATGTTCCTCTCTAATGACTCACCCTGATTGTTTGTTCGAGAAACAAAGATATAGCTCACATTCTCGGTTTTTGGTTTCATCAATTTACTTTCTTTTTATTTATATTAATATTAGAACTTTTATTTTTATAAGAAAATATTCTCTATATATAGATATTATATGTGAAAAATATATTCCAAATATTAAGATAGGTAACAAAATACGAATATTCCTATATCATATATATAATAAAATGTAAATTGCAGCTATCTCTATAATCAAAAACGTTTCTACACGAGATATGATTCCTTTGGGTTTATGTTCAGAATGCAGAATTTTACACGTGTTTATAATCTTAATTAATTTGATGTTATTCCATATATTACTTCCATAACATTCTACGCGTTTCTAGAATATTTATGGCGATATGTATGTTTTCTAATCAATGATATTGACTTATTACTATATATAGTCACGACCGTCTTTCCTCATCGGCCGCCTCTGTCACGGATGCGCGCGCATCTACCAAAAAAAAAAAAAACTCCCTCGAGCCGGATTTGAACCAGCGACCTAAGGATCACCGCTTAATTACATCTACTGAGCTATCGAGGGATACAAACCGATGAATAAGTTTACCTTATAAAGTCAACTAATCCTATTTCTACACAAAATGTACTCATACCTATTTAATAAATTAAGATTTTGAACAAATACTTATATCATTTCTCACATATTAATATAGATATATTTATATTTTGAAAATAGAACAATCCAAATTTAAAATCATTAGATAAAAAAAAAGGCAAATATTGGCAAATACATCTCTTATTCAATTCAATATATATGCCTTTTTATTATTACTATATATAGTCACGAGAGTCTTTCCTGATCAGTCAGTCATTGGCCGGCCGCCTCTGTCACGGATGCGCGCGCACAGGGAGGTCACGTGCTCGCCGGCAGCCAACGGGCGCGCGTCGCCGGCAGGGGGGGGGGCATTACGTCACTCAAGGTCGCCAACGATGACACGTGATCGTAGCCGTCCGATAGGAGGGCGCCGGCCATCCGTGACAGAGGCGGCCTATGACTGATTGATTAGGATTAGGATATGCATTTATTTAAGGCGCCAATTTATCGGGTAAAACACGGGCGTTGCCCTGGTCATTCGGCTAGTGGTTCTATAATCATTAGATAAGTCGAGTGTTTTGGAGAATCTTTTAGAAGACCAGAGTGTCTTAATACAAGTATTTTGTGGGCATTAAATCCCTGAATTTGTCAGCAGACTACATAATCGTTAGATAAGCAGAGTGTTTTGGGGCGGCTGATGTTGTCTTAAGAATTCTGAGACCAGAGTCAAGAGCTGAGATAGTCGAAGGTAGAATGTGCCGTCGTATAAAGATTGAACGATATTTGGATTTGACTTGAGGCCATCCTCTTCGAATCTGCAGCTTCGAACTGGTATTATTGGGAAATCTTCTGGATGAGATGGACTTGACCATTACAACATTAGATGTTATCGTTAACACCAAGAATCGCTGGAAAAACTGGCTTCCATATAATAAAAATCAAAATCAAAATTTATACTCTGATTGCCAAGGCACCGATTCTGAAGAGAGCAATCTCCAAAATGAAAACTTGGTAAATAACTTGGTATATTCGATTCTTCTTCGAGTAAACAAATATGAAACATTTTGTGCTAGTCAATAACTTGATGATCCATCTTTACGCCGTTTGGGGAATGTAGGTTGGCAAGCACTGATTGTTAGTTAAGCTAGATTCGGCTCTACCTGAATTGCTAGGAATCCATGGTCATCACCTCTTATACATCGTCTCGTCATTATGTCATCAACATTTCACTTGTCTGATTCAATAAATGGTTGTTCTATTTACAAAGCTTTTACAACCTTCTTCTTCAGCGGCATGCATCTTACTCTGGACTTGAGGCCATTGGTCCATATTTTTTTTTTAAATATCGTCTTATGTGTATTAATCCCCCCCCCCCCCCACAAATCTTCCTATTTGAGCTAAAAATGTACAGAAAACATCCAAGGGAGGTATTTTCAACGATACTTTATTTACGTGAAGACGGATGAAGAACAGGAGATATTGTATTTCAAATCGTGTTGTTCTAACTCTGGGGAGAGTTCCTATTAGCAATGTTGTTAAAACCGTATATACGTTTGTCCTGAAGGTGTTCTCTTTTTGGAGGCGGGGTTTGTTTAATTCAAGACTTATTTTACCTAGGTGGTTTCTGTGAGAGGCTGTCGCTCATCAAATGGGTCGTTTTTGAAAGTTTTGCTGTTTACTCTATTAAATTATTTGTAACTCAACTGTTAGCTACTTATTAATTTCACAATTACAGCCACAATAATGAGTATGTTCTTTCTCTGATAGCTCCTACAGAATCACATATTTTATAATTACTGAATGGCGGACCTTTGGGTTTTCTAAGAAAAGGTGCAGGGAAATGCAAAAAGGTGCAGTTTAGATTAATTGTAAACAAATGTATTGCTCATATGCATAATTGAAATAATTATTATAAGCTCAATTTAAAATATAAAATGCGTTTATACGTATATAGCGATTGAATATATTTGATAATAAATAATTTTATTGAATCACACAATGAAATTAAATTATATAATATTTTATCTAAATTAACACAAAGCAATAACGCGCCATTTTTACATATAAAATGAAAGGAAAAAATTCTCGAATGTTTCTTTTATACATAATACAAACTTCTACTGCCCTTACTGCGATGAAAAAATATATTGGGAGGGCTTGGCTCTTCAGTGGTGAACCCTCCCAGCGGTTTCGCCAATTTAATCCACCAGACCGCTTCTTGGAGCTCTAATACTGTATTGGACGATTCTACTTATATACGCAGCACTGAAGGGTGGAATCTCAGAAATGGCTTTCAAGAAAACTATTGACATAAGCTTATAGGACAGTAGAATTACATTCAAATATTTGCATCGAGCAATGCTCTTTCCTAAACAATAAAGACAAGGTCAGTTAGGCATATTTATTGTTTGCGAAAGAGCATTGCTAGATGCAAATATTTGAATGTAATTCTACTGTCCTATAAGCTTATGTCTATATTTTTCTTGAGAACCATTTCTGAGATTCCACCCTTCAGTGCAGCGTATATAAGCTGAATCGTCCAATACAGTATTAGAACTCTGAGAAGCGGTCTGATGGATTAAATTGGCGAAACCGCTGGGAGGGTTCACCACTGATGAGCCAAGACCTCCTAATATATTTTTTCATCGCAGTAAAGGCAGTGGACGTTTGTATTATGTATAAATGAAACATTTATGCTTTTAAATCCTTTCACAATATTTTATCTCTCAATATGTCCTGGGTTAAAAGTTTAACTTCTATTGTATATGGAATGTTTACACGTGGAAAACATCTCCCCATATTTACTTAATCTTCACTCTATTTACAATATAAGTTCAACATATTGATTTGTCCAATACTAGCTAGTGGGAAACTTTATAAACTTGAGTTATTTAAAAGCTTTTATTTAACTTGCCTCCATGTCTGTCTGTCTGGATGTCTGTCGCCAAATCTTGTAATCAATTTTTAATATACTTATAGGGCACCTGGAAATATGAAATTTGGTACACATGTTCAAACCTGATGACAATGCTAGCTAACCAATTTTCAGACTTCTAGGTTGTCAGGTTGGCCAAGAACAGACAAATTTCCAAATTTCCTTTCAAATTTTGTATATTTTATTTTAATATTCTTGCAGACCATATAGAATAATGAAAATCACAATACTCGCTCAGTCCAATTAACAATGCAAGTGTACTAATTTTCAGACTTCTGGGTGGTCGGGAAGGCGGGAAATGAACCATTATCTATATTTCTTTTTTAATATTATGTGTTGCATTATATCTACTCGGAAAATGCTGGAGGTCGCGAAAGGATTTTTTCAATAAATGTTCAAGACATGGAAGGAATTAGAAATCCAAATATTCAGATTCCTATCTAAAACGTCCTTGGAATTACAAGCAAATAAATGAGAAAAGCCAACAAATATATTAATTTTATCTGTTATAATTTAGTCATCTTATTCCAATAACATCACGCATATATTTATATTCATTATATATATATATATATATGTCATAATTTGTATATAATTGTATGCACCCCCCGACCCACTATGCATGTACAATGTATGATTTTCAAATATTTAATAAAGAATAAGGTAACTGGAGGAAAGAAAGTAGCAACAAGACATAGGAAGTAGGCTTAAAGCGGGCACAAGTATTAATAACTTGTACAGTCAATACTTCCTGACAGAGGCCGGACGTATCTGGTGACCGCAAAAGTTATAAAAGTAGAGAGACGCCCAATATTTCCGGAGCAAGACCGGACGTATTTGATAACCGCGGAAGTAATAAGAGTCGAGCTAACACCCAATACTTCCCGACCAGGCCGGACGTATCTTCCATCAAAGAAAGCCGCAGGACCAATTAGAAAGTATCCCCTAAATAGGTCAACCAATAGAAAAAGGTCATGTGACATCTTTCGACCAATGGAAAAGAAGACAACTCGTGGTGTTAAATCGAGAAGCAAGAATTGTCAGTAGTGATTTCGCTCCCATAGGAACAACACCTATGTAGTTGCTCCTTCGCTCCCAACAAGGTAACATCTGCTCTCGAGACCTCCCCGCTCATCCCGTAGCTAAGTCAATCACCGCCATGTGATCAGATAATTAACAATCAAAACCCGCTCCGCTCTTCTCAAGCTTTCTTTCCTCCAAACCAGTTGCCTTATATTTTCAAAACCCCATCACGTGTCCTGATTATTCCTAACTGTATGCTTCAACTTCCACTCAAACGACTGCGTTTCAACCAATCCTCACCATTCAAATCGAACAACAAGAAATTCCGCAACGATATTGTCACAGAACGGTTAAGTCGACAGGATAAAGAGATGGAGATTAATCAGGATTTAATAAGCGTAAAAACGGACAACCCTACGAAAGAAAGAGGGAAGAAACTGGCAACGAGCGGAAAGAAGCTGGCAACGAACGAAGCGACAAAACACACCCTGGCGACAATAATTTTGCAGCTGACCGCCGCACTTCAAGGAGCAAGGTCCACTCAACTACAAACGACGTTCCGTAGCGCCACCCCCGGAGCAGCCCACACCCCCCCGCCGACCGAAAGGCGAGATGAGCGCGGCAGCCGACGCACGTGCCACCACCCCAGGCAAGTGTCACCGAGGCCGGACACCGACCACCGAGGAGTCATCCACCGCCATGCCGTACCCGTACCCCGCACTTGAAAGTAATCCGCACAAACCGGGACAGTGCAAACGGTCCCGAAACGACATTCCAGTACCGGACTTCACGCCAATTTCGCGGACGGTGCGAGCAGTCCCGAGCCCCAAGCCAACCAACCCAAGCCAAGACGTCCCAGCCGAGCCGAACTTTCGAGACTAAGGTAGGCACCCCCCCTATGGCGTCAAGAATTGACTTTGAACTCTTATCTAACCCTACCTACCCCTTTAACCATGTATCTAAACATGTACCAAATGAATGCAAGCACGGGCTAGACCAAAACCTGTCCCAAAGGGCTCGTACAGCACAC